TGAATGAATGAATAGTAAATTTGTATAAGTTGAAAGCCATACAGATTTGATTCATCCTAGCTTAAATTCCAGGGTCACAATCCTCCTTAAATATTTTATAAAGCTCTAAAAATTGATTTGCAGTGCCTATTAATTTTTAAATGTGTGTCAGAAAAATATTTTCTTTGGCTTTGTCCTGGCCAGGGATTGTGCTTATTAATTAAGGCCAGCCGTGCCTTCCTCTCAAGTCCTCCTTTGCCCTCCGCTTTCCCCCCTGGCCACCCTCCTTGTTGAGTCTTGTTGTAGAACTAGTTCTGAAAATAGCAGCAGAGAGAACAAGTTTCCACTTGGGAGGGAGCCCAGCCACTGCAGGAAACGTGTTGGATAACGCACAGCCTGTGGAACAATCATGCTCACGGCTCCTAGACACTGTGCAGTCTGCCAAGTGATAGCCCCAATTAAGTTTTTAATCATTTGTACTTTTTCAGATGATTTTTAGTTTAATACCATAAAGTCATCCACATATTCTTCACACAGAGTCTCTGTTGCATGGTTCATACTGTCTGTAAGGTTTGTGTTTCTACATGGCTAGACTTTGTAAGGTTTGTGTTTCTGCTATGGGTAGACTTTGCTTGATTGTGACAAAAGTGCAAACTATTGCAAAGGGTGAATGCTTTCTAGAGGGTTGGAGTCATGAACTCAAATGCCTGAGGGGCCAGACAAGTCAAGTAAGAGGGTGAATAGGCTGGATAGAGGCAAAGAAGATCAGCGGTGAGTGTGGCAAACTGGAGCATGCGCGACCCATCCTGCCCATAGCTGCATGGTAAGGACAGTTCACAGCAGAATAAGACAGCCAGGGTTGAAAGAAGACACCCAGAGTTTTTTGTCCAAAAGCCCAGGGCCAAAAGCAGGATCTCCAAAAAACAATTCACTCAAAGGCTAATCTGTGAATTACTGAGGACTTTTTGAAGTTTGAGGTTTTCTTATCTACTCATGCCTCTGCTCAGGCCGCTGTATCTGCCCATGCTCTTGCATTGCCGCAGCCTTAGGGCACTGTTCTAGGTGGAGCACAAGGTCTTAGTCTGCCAAGGGTCAGGCAAACCAAAAGGAGAAGCAAAAATTTCTCTGCAGAAATCCTTGGTTAGTATGTTCACGTGAGTTGGTTTTAGACGCATACTTGCTTTTCAACATCCTCTATAAGAGATGGAGTCCCTGCAAGCAGACTTTACACTTTGTCAAGCAGCAGTGAGAATCCAGACTTCAACTGGAAGCTTTCTAATTTTAAAGGTTGGTCACTAATCCAAATTATGTTAAAACAATGGTGTATGAAAGTTTAAACCCTCTGCAGTTAGAAAACTACTAGACAGAAACTTTTCTATAAATGTTGTAGGTTTCAGTACGGAAAATAAGAAATAGTGGAGAGATTTGGATAATAATAATACTGTCTCATATTTAACACCTATGGTTTACAGAGTACCTTTGAAAACTCCGCATTAGCTAATTGTCACAGTTGGTGCTACCATTCCCATTTCACAAAGATAGTATGAGAGAGACTGAATGTAGAAGACTTGGCTATTTGGTTATTGATAGGTTTGCTTGCTTATTGCTGTTACCATGTGTGGCACTTCGTATACATGATCTCTTTGATCCTCAAAACAATATGGTATGGGCGTCATTTTAAAGATTGGAAACATGGGATAGTTAGGTGGCATTTATCTATCTTCACCATAGTGGCAGACTTTAGCGTTAGTTAAAGGCAGACCATCTAGACCTAGAATAGGACAAAATGAGATGGTTTGTCTTTAACTAAGTTCTAGGTGTAAACTAGTTATTGTCCTATTCTAGGTGTAAACTAGCTATTCTAGCTGTAAACTAGGTTCTCTTAGAATCCCAAGTTAAAGGAGGACAAAGATTTGCCCAGAGTCACACAGCTTGTTAGTTAGTAGTGAGATTTCAACTCTATGAGCTATCTTTTCCAAGACTTTTACCCCATGATATGGTGTGCCAAGGCTCTGCACTATCGCTCATGGCCACTCATTAGATTAAAGCAAGTGAAATTGCTTATGTGTGACAGTACACCTTCTACAACAGCAATTTCATATGGTTCAACCTAATATTATCTATTTTTTCTGTCTCCAGTCAATGTTAAACTAATTTCCCGAAATAGGAAACCACTGTGAACAAGTGGATTGTTTTCGGTCGTATGTAGTTGCACCGACAAATCTGCTAATTATTTATTAACTTAAGAAAGACTTTCAACTGGAAAAGTGAGAGCAGGTACCTAATAGAAAATCCACACATATTTGTCAAATTTAAGTGGAACTTTCATTTTCCAAGCACTTATTATTTCTGCCATAAATGCAGATGTTGAAGTTTTGATTGATTTTAAATGATTAATAATTTTATGAATGCTACACTTCAGTTTAATGGCATGGAAACTGAGTGATATGGTTAGGAAATTATACATATAAAAATTATGGGGGAAGGGTTCCACCTTTTTCAGTGGAAGGTTCTTATTTATAGACATTAGCCTTAGTTTAACATCTAACTGAAAAATGTACATGATGCCTTGATATAATAGTGATTGTAAGGAATGAAAAATTCAGTGGAGCTTTGTCTCTCTCTCTTTTTTTTTTTTTTTTTTATCACTGTGCAGACTATTTTTAAAACAGTTAACCATCGTACCTTCTTAAACTTCACTAAATAGTCTTTAGTTAATGAGAAAGTTAATAGTTTGGCCTAGTTACGCCTTCAATGAAGGCATGAGAAACCCTTTGATACAGCCTCTGTAGAAATGCAAGATTAAGTGCATTTCTTGGTTGACACGTGCTAATTTCTTCTTTGCTCAAGTGTTAGCCACTAAAAGACACATGTGGGATGCTTTTCTTCAAGCTGATTCTACCCAATTCTAGTGCCTTTAAGTTGGAAACCTAAAATAAGATTTTTGAAGAAATAGATTACTTCCTATGAAAAAACTTGAATGATTAAGTTAAGTATAAGCCGAGTATAAGCCACCAGAATGTGCGTGTCAGGTTTCTACCTGGCACCCTTCAGATATGAACACGGTGCTCTTTCATGTACTGCATTTTAAAAAAATTGTATGTTGAATTTTCCTGCTGATACAGACTATTACACTCATCTCAAAGAAAAGTGGGTGTGTATCTCTATAAATTATGATGATTCAAAAAATGTTTTTAAAAAACATTATTAAACCCCTTTTTCTTAAAAAGGAAACCTTATTTATAAGAGTAAAGCCTGAGAGAAACTTTCTTTCTTTCTTTCTTTTTTTTTTTTTTGAGACAGGATCTAGCTCTGTCACCCAGGCTGGAGGGCAGTGGCACAATCTCTGCTCACTGCAGCTTCAACTTCCCAGGCTCAAGAAATCCTTGCCCCTTCAGCACCCCTCCTCCCCTACTCCCCCAAGTAGCTGGAACTACAGGAGAGCGCCACCAAGCCCAGCTAATTTTTGTACATTTTTTAGAGACGGGATTTCACCATGTTGGCCAGGCTAGTCTTGAACTGAGCTCAAGTGGTCAGCCCACCTCAGCCTCCCAATGTGCTGGGGTTACAGGAATGAGCCGATATACCCAACGTAGAAGCAAATTCTTTATTATCTGTATGTCTCATGAAGGCTAGGCTATTAAGCTGTTTCCTTTTGCCTTTTTTTTTTTTTTTTGTGGTGGGTGCTTATGTAATAAAATGTGTATGTTATGTAACTATGTACTGAGGTAAGACGGTGGGGTTGGATCCTTGGGAAGAAACAGTTTGTACAGGATTTATTATTATTTACAAATTCTGCTTTACTCAGCATAGAATTACAAACTTTAATTAGGATTGATTCAAGATCTCAAAATCATTTCCTATTTTCCTGGCCTTACTCTAAAAGATGTGAAGTGGTAAATGGATTGATGACATTCTAAGGTTGATGTCTTTTATCACGTAGCCTCTGAATATTATTGATTATCAACTATGTTTTTCAAACTTTGATCTTATGAACTACCCTTTATGATTTCATTCATGTGGGAACACATTATTTACTTAATATTTTCTTTAAAATAACCTTTAAAAATAGCTTTTTAACTTCCCAAAAGGAAACTCTTTTTACTACCATCACTATTATGTATTCAGCTGATTAATTTCTATATAAAACTGTCATTTTAAACTTCAAGTGAAAAATGAGTCAGTTTTTTAAAGTACTGCTGTTTTCTTACACTCTAAAGGCAAACTTTATATTGCTGTCATCCCTTACCAGTGAGATTTCTCTATTGCAAATTAAAAATACATGTATCCACTAAAATAAATTGAAATGTAAAAATCTATTTATGTACAAGTGAGAATCACATAGCACACTACAGTGGGATATATATCAAACTGGGAAAGGGTGGCTGAAAGTAAAGATGGACCACTATTGGAAGAGCGACCCATAGTGGGTGCCACCATTGACACAGGGTTTTCTGTTAAGACTTGGCAGGGGTTTGTTCCTACCCGGCTTGACCCAGAGAGTCAAGCCTGCCATTCAGCTAAAGAGGTGCCACGTGGGGTTTACTGTCCTCCTTTTTAAATATTGCCCTGGTTCCCTCTTGACGAGTCCCCTTATTAAGGGAAGGTGACCTCAACTTTTTAGGCCTGTAAGGATGCCAGCAGTAATGAATTTTTTATCTTCTGCGAGGCTTGCTCTAAATCGGATTCAGCATTATGCTGGTGCATATATATAAAAAGATGACCAATTGATATTCAAATGTAATGAGAAGGAAGGTTTGCTGCTCAGCATAGCCTCCTTTGTTTTTAGCCCTAGTAGGTTCTTTGCACTAAAACAATACAGCTTTCGTCTTCCCTTCTGAAATCACTGTGTCTAGCTAGATAGGAAAGACATCTTTTCTAACCTACTCCAGAAATAAAATACAGTTTGTTCTGGTTTTCTAGTGTAATTTTTTAAATGTGCCTAGAGATTTGGATGTGAAGTCTTGAAAAAAACAAAGTATTCCTTTTGAAACATGCAAATGTGTCTCTCCATCACCTAGGAAACTATTATGGGACACCCAAGCCTCCTAGCCAGCCAGTCAGTGGGAAAGTGATCACGACGGATGCCTTGCAAAGCCTTCAGTCTGGCTCTAAGCAGTCGACCCCGAAGAGAACCAAGTCCTACAATGATATGCAAAATGCTGGCATAGTCCATGCGGAGAATGAGGAAGAGGATGATGTTCCTGAAATGAACAGTAGCTTTACAGGTAAAGGTCAGACCATGTTGCCCTCAGTGGATCTGGGAAAGGGATGACGGGGAGGCTTTTGCATAGAGTTTTGAGAAGGATACTGTTATCGAGGGATTTTGTAGTGTTGCCAGAATTCAAACTTGGACCACACAGTGCTTGGAAAAGAGATGGTCCTTTCTATGGTCTTCTTTTCATGTCTCTTTACAGGAATATTTTAACTTCACCAGAATACCTTAAGGGAGCTAGGGGTGAATGTGTGAAGAAGGAAAATGAGAAAATAATCAACATGGTGTCTTTCTCTTCAAAATTATATATATATATATATATATATATATATATATATATATATATGTATTTTGTTCATTATTTTTGCGGAGGAATTTGCAGTATCTCTCTGTTATGGCTGATTGCTGTGAAGCAAAATATGAGAATGTGTTTTATCTGTTTAATGTCAGTTGATGCTGGCCAGCAGCATCCTTTTATATCTTTGTAGGATATTACATATTCAGTTAACTTATGCAAAATTGCTATATGCCCTAAAAGGGGAACAGATGGAAAAATAAAATTCTAACATTATATCTTATATATGCATTCTATGTTGTATAGCCTATATTCTATATTATATAGCCTATGTATTACTGACTATATTATATATGTTTTATCTATATTCAGGGCTGCCTAACGCCAAGCGTAGGTATGCTGTATTTTATGAAGGGATTTTTCAAGGACAAGACCTTTGAGTAAGGCCATTCAGGCTTAGTATTGCACAACTCCAGGGGACACCATTCACAGAGGATATAATGTTGTGTGTTCCCTGTGGGGCAGAGGTTGCAGTGAGCCAAGATTGCACCACTGCTCTCTAGTCTGGGTGACAGAACAAGACTCTGTCTCTAAAAATAATAATGATGATAATAATAATAATAATAATAATGTTTGTTCCTTGGGTTAGTGCAGTGACCCAGAAGAGCTGAGGAATATTTTTTACTATATGAGGATTTGACCTTACATAGTAAATCAAAATGTAACAGCTGAGTAAGATAGGAGTAACTTCAGTCTATAGTGCTGTGGATTAGAAGAACACCTTGTCTCTCCTTAAATATTTTCTTTAATATTTTAGAGTTACACCTATTAATAAATTATCCATTTTCAACATATGAGATTATCTTCTCCCATAGTGGCCCTTTCTTACATTACTATACTTTGGTCATTACTTTATTAGCATCAGCCCCAGTGAAGGGGGAGATTAGTAGACTCTGTTTTTCCCTGTGCTGCCAACTCTAACAGGATATTTAGGAAAAGCTTGTTAATTTTGAATACTGTCTGCAACCTATATGGACCTCACTGAGGTTTTTGTTATTTATTAACTAAACTCAGAAGCCTAAAATTTATCAAAAGGAAATAAAAATTTTTTTGATGACTTTATTGTCATAGCAGTAGGATAGCCCAACATTTGTATAAGAAGTGTTAGGTAAAGACCGGGGAGATTTGTTTGTTATCCTGGCTTGGCTCTTGGGAGTTGTCTTTTTTTTTTTTTTAGATAGAGTCTCACTTTGTCACCGAGGCTGGAGTGCAGTGGCATGATCTTGGCCCACTGCAACCTCCACCTCCTGGGTTCAAGCATTCTCCTGCCTTAACCTCCTGAGTAGCTGGGATTACAGGTGGGCGCCATCACACTCAGCTAACTTTTTTGTATTTTTAGTAGAGGTGGGGTTTCACCATGTTGGTCAGGCTGGTCCTTTGTGATCTGCCCACCTTGGTCTCCCAAAGTGCTGGGATTATAGGTGTGGGCCACCGTGCCGGGCCGGTAGTTGTCTTTTTATGAAAATTATGACTAACTCATTCACGTGTAAAATGACTAGCTAGGATTAGATTATTTCTGAGTTTCTTCTTCTAACTGTGTGAATTTGACTCCATGAAAATTCCCGTTTTCTCAATTAGAATGGGTTAGACCAGCGCCTGCCCTATAGTTGTAATATCTAGAAGAAATTTGCCACCTTTTACCTATGCTTTAATTGAAATCAGCTGATTTCTTTCATTTAGGAATCTTTCACCTGTTTATAGTGGCCCTTACCAAAATGAAAACAGATCATGAACACATGTTAACATTTCTCATACTTTAATGTCTTGATATTTTAATAAATAAGAATAGCAAATCATGGTATAACCTAAACCATAGTTGTGGTCGCAGAAATGGAAAACCTTGGGGGTAGTGTGCAGCAAAACTGTTCTGCCAAGCAGATTGTGTAGTCCCTAAGAAGCTTGTGTGCCTCTATTTGTCCTCCATTTATTGAATAGATTTTTTGGTAAAAAGGAGGAACAAAGTAGAGGTAATTGACTGTAAGTCTAGATGCATTTCCTATTTCTAACTACTATCAGTCTCCCTCTCTACAAGCCACGCCTCAGAAAATCTGACCCCATAAAACCCCTACTTCAAATCCTGGCATCTTAGAACAATTTGCGGGCCCTAGTTATCCTTGCCAAAATCAATCTGATGATTAGTTTCTGCACAAAACAGAAAGCCAAGTGGCACCTGATTGTGTTCTTCAGGATCTTGTCTGATACAAAGAAGATGCATGGAGGAAAAAGTGGCCTTGAGAGATGCACATGATGGGACCTCTTCACAATGTGCAGAGCATGTTGACTGTCCCCTCACTTATAACACTATACCTGTGACAACTGACAATCTGTCATACACTAACTCATGCTAAATCTTTCAAGTAATTAACACTACCCAGTCTGTAAGTATGTGAAACTAGTGGTGTCAAAGCATGTTGTATTCTGAACCACGTTAAATAGGCATCCACCAGCCACTTTAAACTTAGAGTGACAGTGGCATAATGAGGTGTTGGCTCCTGCTTGGGCCAGCTATGATAAAGGCATGAGCATTATATCAAAATGTGGAAATGCTATGAAGCCATTAAAAAATTACATTTACCAGGATATTTTTAATAATTTTCTGCTGTTTTTATCTTAGCTGCCTTTTGCTTGAGTCTTGTGAATAAGGTATGCCTCAATAACACACCTAAATAACGCTGGGAGTGTTTGCAGGCAAAAGATCAGGGAGCCTATTGGCCAGAAGCATCCTGGGAAGGCAGCCCACCCTTCCTTTCTGCAGTGATTGATTAAGGCGGAAGCTGAGCGGTGAGCATCCATCCCAGATGCTCACCATGGAACTGACTGTTGAACACAAAGCAATGGGACAGTCTTCTACAAATTGTGCCCAATTTATGGACCTAAAAGAGGCCTTGAGAAAGAACACTTCTTATGTGTGCTTAATGAAGGTAGAGTTACACTGTTGTCCAAAGCAGTTATATATACAAAGACTTTTGCAAAAATATTGTGTTCATTATAGACAACTTAGGAAGTGTGTAATAAGGGCCAGGTGTGGTGGCTCACGCCTGTAATCTCAGCACATTGGGAGGCTGAGGCGAGCAGATCACCTGAGGTTTAAAATTTGAGACCAGCCTGGCCAACATGATGAAACCCCGTCTCTAGTAAAAATACAAAAATTAGCGGAGTGTGGTAGCGGGTACCTGTTATCCTAGCTACTCAGGTGGCTGAGGCAGGAGAATTACCTGATTCCAGGAGGTGGAGGTTGCAGTGAGCTGAGAGCATGCCATTGTACTCCAGCCTGGGCGACAGAGGGAAACTCTGTCTCAAAAAAAATAAAATGAAATAAAATATGGAACAAGTCACTACAACTAAAAAGTAACATGTTCATCATGAACACCTCTGAGAGACATCAAACCATTACCTAATCATGTTTCTAGGCTTTTTTCTTTCAATAATCCCTAATATTTTTAAACATTAGGTTGCTGACACATCTTTTTTTGTTGATAGACAGTGATAAAGCATTGCTTTGGATTGTTGAGATAATCATTTCTGTAAGAGCTAATGTTTCTCAAGTATAGACTATATGGCAGGCACTTTGCTAAGCTCTTTATGTGTATAACAGAGAGGTCAAATACCTTGTCCAGTATCACAAAACCAGTGAGACAGGGCCAAAGCTGCCACTGCAACCCACAAAGTCTGACTCCACAGCCTGAGTGCACACCTACTATGCTATTTGTGTTTTAAATCAAGTTCAGCAGCTTTATGAAGCCTCAAAGATTATTACTGGTTGTGCACAGTGGTAGATACACATAAACCTAAAAGCATGTATAATATAAAACGAGCTTCAGAAATTTTCTTTGACTTGGTTTATGTTCTTGAAGTCACCTTCAAAAGTCTGAGAGAGAGAGAGAGAGAGAGAGAGAAAGAGAGAGAGTGTGTGTAACTGCTTGGAAGCTTCTGATTTACTATGAAAACATCATTTTCATAGTAATAATAATTTTAATATAAAATATCATTTGTATTCATTTATGTTTTACAAACCATTTTTACATGTATCTCACAAACCTCCAGAAAATCTTGAGAGAGAAGCTATCCAGGTATTACCTTCCCAGTGTTGCAGATGAGAACCCTGAAGGACTGACTGTAACTGTTATGCCATTGAACAGTGGGAGAACCAGGTTCCCTGTCTCCCCATTCGATCTTGTTCCAGTATTCCGTTCTACCTGTTCTCTTTGCATTCACTGGCAACCTTTAGTAAGAAAGTAGTGTCAGTGCTCCTAAATCTCTGGTAAATTAAATAAAAGGTTTTGTTTGAGACAGGGTCTCATTCTGTTACCCAGGCTGGAGTGCAATGGTGCGATCACAGCTCACTGCAGCTTCAACCTCCCAGGTTAAAGTGATTCTCCCACTTCAGCCTCCCCAGTAACTGGGACTATGGACATGTGCCACCTCACCCAGCTAGTTTATAATTTTTTTTTTTTTTTTTTTATTTTTTATGTTGTTGCTATGTTGCGTTTTCTGGTCTCAAACTCCGTGGCTTAGTCCTTCCTCCTCAGCCTCCTGAATAGCTAGGATTACAGGCACAGGCACATGCCACCATGGCCCAACAGAAGGATTTTCTTTTTTTTTAAATCACAGCATAAGTCAAAGCCATGACTAAGGCTGTGAATTCCTGAGTCTGCCATATGTCTGTGCCAGCAGCTCATTTTTGGACTTTCCATTTTCTTTCAGAGAATGAGATTAAGATTCTGTTGAGCTGAGAAGAAGATATGGAAAGCATATGAAATAAAAACAAAAGCTTGGATAACTTAAAATAAGATCTAGTTGCTGGAGGGATTTTTTTTTTCTCCAGGAAATTAAAATTACTGAGAGATTTTCCCAGAGAACTTATATTCCCTTCATGCAGTGTTTAGGAATACTGGCAGGGCTTTTTTTTTTTTTTTTTTTTTTTGTAAACGTACACTCATTGTTAAATTAAGTGCGTCTCATTTCACATGTAGTGGCTCACCCATTGGCCCTACCCTTTTCCTGTTATATCCAGTTTCTATTAAAATAGGTTAATAAAAATTCTTTAATAACATTATTATTATCATCCTGACAGTTTGCTGCCTCCTAAATGAAAAGGCAGTCACTGAGTTTGGACAGTTGTATCTCCAATAAGAGGTTTCAGTCCCAAGCACCCATTGAGCACATCTCAGGTGCCAGGCACTTGGCACGTGTTAATTCTGTTCTCATGCTGTGTACGTTATGCCCATTTTACAGATTGAGAAATATGTGCTCAGAAAGGCAAAGCCAAATAGATAGAAGCAAACAAGACTATAATCTGTGGTCTGATATTATAACCTATGCTTTTTCCACCCTTTGGTAACATATTTGCAGGCTGGGGGCGAGGTCTGGCCTGAAGACACAAGTAATCATAATTTTGATGAGGATAGAGGTGCTTTTGCTGCTGTTGGCTGCTTAGTGTGGCTTGCTATGTGCTAGATGCTGTTCTGAATGCCTTATCCATTTAATTCTCCCCACAACCCTGTGAGGTGGGGACTGTTATTGTCCCAGTTTTCTAGATGAGCAAGTGAAGGCACACATGGTTAAGTACTTTGCCCACGTTAGTAAATGGTAAAGCCAGGATTCAAACTTGGGCAGTTTGGCTCCAGGGTCAGTGCTCATAATCAGGACCTTTCATTTTTCAGTGGTGTTACAGTGCATTATTTTTTAAAGGAATTATGTTTGGAAACTTGGGAGATTTTACATAAAAGCACAGATTTCCAGCTTGTCTTGAAAAATCAGAAGTTTGGCAACTGCAAGTCGCCTCTCCTCCAGGACACAAACGTCTGGCACTGAGTGCCCAGCTCCCTTCAGCCTAGACCCACTCACTACAAATCTCATTAGCATACTGACCTGGCACTGGTGCACAGAGGAGTATATAGCCAGAGACTGTACCACTCGCAGCTCATTAACTGCAGGGCAACACCTGTCCTAGGAGCCAGAGGTTCTGGTGGTTCTGGAACGTGGCAGGTATAAACCAAGAAGGGAGTAGAGTAATTCCCAACTGAAAGTAGAACTTTTTTAACAATCGATTCTCTACATCATTTTTTCTTTTAGTTCATAAGAGAACTCTTTGTGTCTTTGTCTTTAGAGTGTAGTTCATACAGCACCTGAATCTTTCTCACCTGGGTACTTGTAAAGTGTGCATTTTGGGACCATATCCCAAACCTATTTTCTGGAGGACAGCCAGAATTATGCATTTTAACAATCTCTCCAGGTGATTCTTTTATGCACCTAAGTGTGAAAAGTCTACCTTCCAAAGATATGCCAGAAATGAATATTTGTTGGCTCCTAGAGAATTAAAAGTGACTCTTAATTCTTGACCGGTTTTGAATTTATTTTGCTATTGATTAGTAATTTCAAAGTTTTTCTTCTGTGTTGGTCTAATTTTTTTCTGTTCCCCTAGTTACAGTTGATCTATTAATCTGCACTCTTGGATGCAGGTTGCAAAACTAACTCAAATTGGTTTAAGCAAGAAAGTGAATTTAGGGGTTCAAGCTATCAAAACGAGGGGTGTCCTTGATTTCAGGTATGAAATCAGAGATCAGATGCTCAGCCAGGGATATTAAATGACTCTCCGTCTTTCACCTCTCCTCTTCTCTGTGTGGATTTCATTCTCTGGCAGTTCATGTCAAGCTATGTCAAGATGTCTGCCATCACCTACAGCGTGAGAACCTATTAGCAAATAGGTTCCAGCCTCAAGTGACCACCTCTTGCTTGATAATTCCAGTAAATCTTCTATGTCTAACATTCAAATTTGTTTGCCTTAGATCAAGTACCTATTCCTGACCTAATAACAAAGATAAAAATGTTAGAATACTCCTCACTGGCAAAGCATATGATGTGGAGCCAGGAGTAGGTCCCCACCTGGACCATGTGGGCCTGGAGTGGAGGGGGGCACCACAAGGATACCTGAATGGTGCTACCAGGAGAAGAGCAAATAGATGCAGGGCTGGGAATACCTACAGCCAGCCTCCCCAAGGGTGGTGCATTTTTGGTGGTGGTTTAGCAGGCTTGGCATGTCCTTCATCCAGCTTTTAGATTACCTTTACTCCCATGTGTGTCATTGGGAGCTTCTCATCAGAGAAAGCTTTGAAAACAGCCTTTTATCATTCTTCAGTCTGTTTTCACTAACTCAGAAATGTCTACAGGAGAATTACTGTGGAAGATAGAAATTCACTGCATACCCTCATTATTAAGCTTTAAAGCCCCATGGAGATTGACAGTTAATATCATCAGCCTCTATAAAAATTCAACCAGAATGTCAACAATGCCGTTTGGGGATACTTTGATGACATCACCTCTGATGTTTCTAGTTAATAAGAAGGCAAGGAGACTCAAGTACTTCAAGCCTTCTTTTAAGATTCAAGTCAAATCAGTCCGCCCACTTGATACTGTTCTGGGGGTAACTGTCTTGGTTTTCATAGGAACATAACTTTTCCAGAAGAGGTTCAAATCTGACTCACTGGTATAACTGTCTCCATATTCTAAGTAAAGATTATACTTTTTTTTTTACTTTTTTTGTATTTGTATACTTTTCAGGTGAATTTGTCATTCTTTGATCTTTGCCAGTGTCTACCAAAAATATTTATACAAATTTTAAAATAACTTATAAAATCATTTGTACAAGAATGGGTAATAATGCCACTTTATCTGTGTTTTCACCCTGAATACTTTTTTTTGTGTGTGCTCAAACATCTTCTGAATAATGAAATCAAATGATACCTATGGAATGAGGGTGCAGATCCATTTGTGTTTTGATGGCCTTCTTAGTTTAAGAGTTTGAGTCATAAATTGGGTTATTCTTTGACATTTCCAAGATTGTGAACAATGCATTATTTGGGATTTTTTTCCCTTTCTTTTTAAGTAAAATGAATTTCATCGATTATTTTGATGCTTTCTAATTAAGGGACAGACATCTAAATAAGATAGAAGTCATAGTTAATGGCCAGGAATTAGGAATGGATAAAAGTGTTTAAGAATGTAGATGTATATAGGAATGTACTTCCCATGTATGGGGTATGATTGCTGAATACCTTTCTCTCTCTCTCTCTCTCTCTCTCTCCCCCCTCCCTCCCTCTCTCCCTCTCCCCCTCCCCCCCATCTCTTCACATGATTAAGCAGCCGATTCTGGTGAACAAGACGAGCACACTCTCCAAGAAACGGCACTACCACCTGTGAATAGTAGCATCATCGCTGCTCCCATCACGGACCCTTCTCAGAAGTTCCCTCAATACCTACCTCTTTCTGCAGAGGATAATTTAGGTCCTCTACCTGAAAACTGGGAGATGGCCTATACCGAAAATGGAGAAGTCTATTTTATAGAGTAAAGTATACCATTATTTCTACCTAAATCTCTCTATCTTTCTTTTCCCTTCCTTCCCTCTGTCTAGCAGCTACCAATATAAACTACATTTAAGGGATTGATCACCCACTGATGGTATTTTTTAATAAGGTTTAATAAGTTTTGCATAAAAAGGTAATTAATTATTATCATCCTACTTGCTGAATCTGAACAGTTTGAGGAAGAACAAGGTTATTTCCATAAAGATTTAGACAACTAAATTATGGTATATAGAAATTATGACATAATATTTAAAGAACATATTTAACCATTAAAATAGTAAATACATTGCTTTTTTTTTCTTAATTGAAGTGCAGTGTTCTTATTAAGACTTATTTATATATTCTGGATACAATGCCTTTATCATATTTGTGATTTGCATGTATTTTCTCCAAGTCTGGCTTTTCTTTTCATTGTCTCAACTGTGTCTTTCAAAGAGCAAGAATTCTTAATTTTGATGAAGTCTGATTTATCAGTTTTCTTTTTAGTCAATTGTGCTTCTGCTGTAGTAGTTAGGAAATCTTTGCCTAACACAAGTCATAAATATTTTCCTTTTTTGCATTTTGTGTTTAGGTCTGCCATGCATTTTAAGTTAATATTTTTACATGGTGCCAGGTATATGGATTAAGGTTTGAGAATGACAGACAGGAATGTCTTTCAGATGTATAAAATGTAAATGCTATGTAGTTAAACATTTAACAATGTTTTCTGAAAAGGAAAAAAATATCTACATTTGAAACCATTCTGGATAATCTAAGATAATGTGGTGTTCCTAGCCAACAGTAGTCAGTTTTTAAATGCTGTAATTTGACTTTATTATCCCATCATTGAGATTCACCATGTCTTCATGTACCATTAAGAAAGAAAAAGAAAATGACTGATGAAATTATTTAAAAAATCAAGCTGCAGATTCATCTACTGTACTCACATAGATCGAAATTGATCTACTGTTAAATCAACAGTAACAAAGGGAAGGACATTGCAGAAAACTATGAGAAATATCTCACTTTTGCAAAATATGCATGTATACACACATATCCTACGTATGTTCTATGTGTACATTTGTTTCTATTAATATGGAGACCTAGTTCTAGAGACAGAAAAATTCTAGAAGTATCTATGAACAGTTGGGTTTGAGTTAAGTAAAGAATTTACTTTCTAACCACATTTTACATTGGTGGGGGTTGTGAATTTTTTATACTTTGTGTGTGGGTGCATACACACACATTTATTTGTTTATTTACTTTTTATTTCCCTTCCTGAGATGGGTTCTCACTCTGTTGCCTGGGCCAGAGTGCAGTGGTGTGATCATAGCTCACTGCAGCCTCTGTCTCCTGGGCTTAAGTGATCCTCCCACCTCAGCCTCCCAAAGTGCTGGGATTGTATGTGTGAGTCACCAAGCCTGCCATATTTACCATATGTTTTATAATTAGAAAAAAACAATGAAAATAAGGCAGTATGATTTTTCTAAACACATGAGAGTTAGAGAAAAGGCTTGGATCTCAGAACACCCTCTTTGACAGCCGGGCACAGTCGCTTATGCCTATAATCCCAGCATTTTGGGAGGCCGAGGCAGGCACATCACCTGAGATCACAAATTCTAGACCAGACTGACAACATGGCAAAACTCTGTCTCTACTAAAAAACACAAAAATTAGCCAGGCATAGTGATACACACCTGTAGTCCCAGCCACTTGAGAGGCTGAGGCAGGAGAATTGCATGAACCTGGGAGGTGAAGGTTGCAGGGAGACAAGATCGCACCACTGCAATAACAGCTTGGGTAACAGAGCAAGACTCTGTGTGAAAATTAAAAAAAACAAAATATCCTCTTTGAGAACCTACCTGGGAAGAATTCTGAGATAAGTGAACTAGAGGTTCTGTGCTATTTGCCAGCCAGAGGGAGGTGACAACCCATCTATCTGTCTTCATATTAATGGCAAATGCTTTTTAAAGATAAGGATAAAAGAAGTAGTCTTTTTTTGAGAGTCAAGAAACATACCGATTAAGAGCTCAACTAAAGGGCCATATTGTTTCCATCATTTACAAGCTGTTTGGCCTTGGGAACTTGAGTTTACCTCTTTGCATCTCAGTTTTTTATAACTATAAAAGAAGGACATGAATATTATGAATTGTACCTACCTTGTCAGACTGTTGTAAGAATTAGAGGAGACAGAGAAACCAAAGTATTTGGGCTAGTACTAATTAGCGATCACTGTTGTTACTGTTACCATTGTCATCATTATTATCTGTGGTTATTACAGAGGAGTTTAAACATGGTTATAAAAATAGATGCGAGCTATAAACTCAGGATTTTTTACTTAGCTTTTGCAGTAAATTGCCTTTCAAATTATGTCCCATTAGTAAAGAAGAATTGTGCTAAGAAAAGGGAAGGATAATGGTGGTTTCTGGTACAGAATAATCTGTGAAACTCAGATTCTTGGAAAACCATGTACCAATAATTTTGTTCAAGACTGATTCGGTATATTAGAAAAGGGGAAGTTGGATATCTTGATGGTTAGTGGGATGCTGGCCTCCAAAACTATGGCTGGCTTACAAGAGAATGTAGTGATTTGCCTACTTTTTTATAACTTAGCTTTTAGCTGATGTGAGGCCAATGTTTCATTTGCCTAAGGCTTAGTAGAAAATTATACAAAAATGTGGCTTATGACAATTATGGGATTTAGTCTGCAATTATCAAATTTCACATATATTAAGTGATTAGATACATATCATTTATATTTTAGCCTAAATTATATATACTGGTTACTGAATTTTCATGTGTTTTTCATTCTGTAAAATTTCTTTTTAGGACATCTTACATTGAAAAGCAAGTTAAATCGCATTAGAACCAGATCTACTTTGTTTATGCTTGTATGTGTGTGTGTGCATGCACACACTCATGCAGAAAATAAAATATATATATATGTATATATATATATATATATATATATATATATATATGGTTTTGGGGAAATTGAAAAAATACTAGAAATTTAAAAGAACATTAAAAAATAAAGCATGGATTTATAAACCTTGGGCATTGTATAGAAAACAAACGTAAGAAGACTTTGAAAGGAAGAGCAAATAAGACTGGGTAGAGAGCATGGGATCAAAGGAATACCGGGTGGTGAGTTCCCTTTCATTTTTTTGTTTTGCTTTGTTTTTTTGAGATGGAGTCTTGCTCTGTCACCTAAGCTGGAGTGCAGTGGCACAATCTCAGCTCACTGCAACCTCCGCCTCTCAGGTTCAAGCCACCATTCTCCTGCCTCAGCCTCCTGAGTAGCTGGGATTACAGGCACCTGCCACCACACATGCCTAATTTTTGTATTTTTAGTAGAGACAGGGTTTCACCATGTTATCCAGGCTGGTCTCAAACTCCTGACCTCAGGTGATCCAAAGTGCTGGGATGATGATGTGAGGTATCCCAGACTTGGAGCTAAAGAGCTAGCAACCCAGAAATACCAAGAGAGTCAAGCCCTAATAGAAGCCTGCTCTCTCTAGCCAAAAGATCAGGAAAGGGGCACCCTGCAAGACAGAAAATTTTTATTCAACAACCATCTACTCCAGCAACAGCACAGAAAAACGTGGCCTCACACCCCAAGGGTAGAAGGTTACACTTCTATTCTTGACAGGCTGCTGTGTGATTAGGAGCTGAATCCTTCCTGATGGGTGATGTCAGAAAAGGCTAAGTGTAGAGCTAGCACTTTGCAGCCAGGCAATGAGGAGATTCCCTGCTTTTCCACATAGATTTACTGGAGACCACTTGAGGGAACTCAGGACTTCCACCCCACCTTGCAGTAATGAAACACCCTCTTCCTCCCCACTGGTGTGGTATCAGAGGCGGTTTACTGGAGAATCAGGATTTTTACCACCATCCGGTGGTAAAGAGCCCACCCTCTCCCTATGGAGTCAGAGAGGCCAGTTTGGGAACAACAGTGAGATAGTCCTATCCCTCCCAGCCTAACTGGTATCAGCAAAGAGAGTGAGGAGAGGAAAGAATCCGTGAACTTGAAAATAGAGGTTACCTAATCCGAACAACAGAGAGAAAATCAACTAGGAGAAGAAAACAAACAGGGCTTTGGGGGCATTTGGAACAACAACAAAAGATCTAATATTTATTTCATTGGAGGAAGGAAAGTGGATGGGAATGAAAAGAAAAACATTTGAAGAACTAATGCTTAAAATTTTCTGAATTGGCAAAAGAAATAAACCTACAGATTCAATAAGCTGGCTGAACCTAAGCAGAACCCAATGAAAACCACAGTAAGATACATTCATAATTAAACTTAGGAAAACTAAAACCAGAAAAATGTTGAAAGCAATGAGAAATGACACCCTACATATGTTAGTGAAACAAGTAAAATAACAGCATATTTGTCATCAGAAACAACAAAGGCCGAAAGGAAGGGGTATAGCATTTTTCTAGTGCTGAAAGAAAAGAATTAACCCAGAATTCTACATCCAGTGAAAATATCCTTTAGGAATCAAGGGGAAATGAAAATATTCTTAGATGAAAGAAAACTAAGAAAATTTATGGCTGGGTGCGGTGGCTCACACCTATAATCCCAATACTTTGGGAGGCTGAGGCAAGCAGATCACCCGAGGTCAGAAGCTCGAGACCAGCCTGACCAATATGGTGAAATGGCATCTCTACTAAAAAGACAAAAATTAGCTGGGCATGGTGGCGTGCACTTGTGGTCCCAACTGCTTCGGAGGCTAAGACAGGAGAATTGCTTGAACCCGGGAGGCAGAGGTTACAGTGAGCCAAGATCATACCATTGCACTTCAGCCTGGGCTACAGAGCAAGACCCTGTCTCAAAATAAATAAATAAATAAAGTAAAAATAAAAAAAACAAAGCCAGAAAATTTATTGCCAGCAGGTCTGCTCTCAAAAATGGCTAAAGAATGTTCTCTAAACAAAAAGAGAATTATAAAACAAAACCAAAATTCTAAACAAACAGTAACGATCAGGAAAATAGAA